TGCTGAGCCCAGCCCGTGGCAGACACTTGTCCACGCCAAACCCACCACAGTTGTTGCTAATTGATCCTGGGAATGTGTCAGGAATCTTTTCACAACTTTCCCCTCTCTCACACTCCCTTGGACGGGTTCATTCCCTGTCTTCCAAATCATACAATTGATTCTCCTGTACTTGTCAGGTCTGGGATCAGGCAGAGCCAGAAATAACTCAGGTGATTCCTGCTGCTGCCAGCCCTGCATCTTCCTGCCAGCCTTGGGGCTAATGTGGGGCTGGTTCCTCACTGAGAACGTTCCTTGCAGAAGGGAGTGTTTGAGCCCAGCCCCTTGTTTTCCTTAATTACTGCGTTATCAGCACCCTTGCAGTGCAGGAGAAGTATGTGCAATCTCAGGACAAAGCCGTGGAAGAAGAGGTGATGGATCTGTGACACACCCTTCCATGGCTCCTCTCTGTTTTGACACCTCTCCTTTTTTCCTACGAGGAGCTTAAGGCTGTGACTCAGAGCAAGTGAAAGCCCTTCCAGACAGTCTGGCTGCTGGACTCCCTCTCTGGGTGGGTTTGACCTCCCAGGCTTCTGCCCTGCTGGGCAGAATGTGGGAGAAAGGAGATGGCTGAGGGTGGGATGAGCTGGGTCTTTCCTTAGGAACAGAGAGATTGAGCTGGAGAAGGCAAGATTAGCAAGGAAAAGAAGAGAGATAAAGTCTCCTCTTCCCCATCATGACCAAGACAGATCCAGAGAAAGAAAAATCAGTTGGAGCTGCCTCATCTTCAGAGGGACTTGAGACACAAGTTCTGGGTTTGCTGCAGGAGGAACGTGCATGGGCCTCATGCTCCAGGGAGCATCCAGGCGGAAACGCCTCCGCTCCGTCTCAAGGAGAGAAAGATGTTTGTTTTTCTTTTTCTTGGAAATAATGATGGACTCTTTCTTAATAAAAGAACTCCTTCGCCTCACTTTCATCTTGGGAGTTTGCTGAACCTGAATAAATAAACCCAAGAGAGCTCCAGAGCCCGAGGCTAAAGAGCCTCCGGTGGGAACGTCGCGGCAGCGGGCGCGTTGTGTGCGCGGCAGCTCCGTGTGTTGGCCGTGTCCTGCTCCTCTCTGATCTGCCTGAGAACAGGCTCAGCGTTTGCTGGAGGGAGTGAGGACTGTGGGACAGGAAAGCAGGTCACTCCTGGTGATCCAGGAGTGATCCAGAGGCTGGAGGTTGGGACGCACGGAGCGCAAACTGCCAGCTCGGCTCTTGGAGGCTTTTGATTAAGAAAGCCCCTGTGTGACTCAGCTCATGGTTTGCATGTAGGGCCTTTCCCAGCAGCTGCCTTATGTGTCCTCATCCACCTTCTTTTTTTCTGGGCTTGCTTTCTTCACATCCCAAATCCTGGGGCTTCCCCTCCTTCCCATGTAATTCCCTCTTGCTGTCCTGCTGTAGCTCCTGATGGTGACGGCAGCAGCTCCCAGCCTCCTGTGCCACCTGCCCTGATTCCTGCTGCAGGCAGCAGCTGGGAGATGGATCTGGAGGGCTGGGGGGTGAAAAGTGAGGTGTCCACACCAAGGAGCCTCCAAGTGCCTCCTGGCAGCTCCACATGGGATGGGAGCGGGTGACACTCCCGATCCCAGCTCCATGTGCAGACTCAGCATTGCCTCTTGCCCAAGATCTTGCATAAAATACAACAAGACTTTTTTCCCAGGATGGTTTGGCCCTTGGCAGAGGGATTGCAGACTGGATCTTCAATGGATCTAAATGTAAATGGGGTCTTGGGCAGCTGGGCAGGGAATTAAAATTCATTTTTCCTGCATCTCCCGGCTTTTTGGTCAGGATTTGGAGAAAAGAAGGAGCTCAGGGGAAGGAGGGTGAAGACACGTTTGTGCTTTAACCAGACCCATTCCCAATGAAACACTGCACTGATATTTCACATATTAAAGTCAAATCCCTGTCTGCTGCTGGTGCTTCAGCTCTTCCCAAGAGCCCAGAGACTTCCCTGGGTATTCCTGGCTGGAACCCAGCATTTCAGTGCTGAAGGTCTGGAAGCCAATCTAACCATAACTGAGCTGAAATTCCATCCTCACCCTGTGGCTTGTGGCCTTATCCCAGTCTTTTGGAGCTCTGTGAAGGGATGGGAGACGTGATCATAAAAATATTAATTTTATGGTGGCTTTTTAATGGCTTTGAGAGATTTGGTGGCTTAAAAGGGTATGGTCAGGTCAGGCCGAGTTACACAAGAGCCATCAAAGCTTTTGTGGCTTGTTTGGGTTTTTTATTTGAATACCCTGGATATCTGCAGACTCAGCCTTGACAGCACTGGAGAAAATGGGAATCAAAGGAGATGGAAACCGCTCAGCTCAGGGAACCTCGGCTGTGTCCTCTAAGTGCTGAGGTCTAGAAGAGCTCTGCAGCCTCAAAAATGCAGCATTTTTGCACTAAAGAGCTTTTTACAGCTGAATCAGGGGCTGAATTGGGACCCACAGCCCAGTGGGGACTGCTCCTGGTCAGGGTGGCATGGAGAATGGCTCAGCAGGAGACAGGGAAGGCTGGAGACCCCGGTGTGAAATCCAGGCAGGTCCTGCACCCACATGTCCCCACGCTGGGAGGGGACAGACACTGGGAGGCTCCCGGGGCTCAGGGAGGTGACACTTTGGCTCCTGTCGCTCCCGTTGAGCAACTGGCTGGGGCCAAGGGCCGGGATTAGTCACCCCAACTGAGGCACAACCCTGGCATGGGGGGGTACCCAGCTTTCTGCTGAGCTGATCCTACCTGCCCCAACCCCTCCAAGCCTGGTGCTGGGACGGGCTGAGCCCACCCTGACCGTGGTGGGTTGGCAGGGTGTGATTTTTGGGATGAAGGGGTTTGGGTTTCAATCACACCCACCAAACTGGGGTTTGTTGTGTCCCCTCCCTCCATCTTCCAGCCCCAGTCCTGGTTCCATCATGGGGTTCCTGCTCAAAGACTGAATTTCCCCATCAAGTGGTGCTTTCTGGGGGGGGATAAAAAGCCTCGCCAAAAATTCCAAAGCCTCCAGAGCAGGCATCTGGTGTCAGCCTGGCAGGAGGCTGCCCATCACTGCCCTGGGGCCAGGGTGATGGTCATCAGGGAGGTGGCTCAGCCAGGAGCCAGCCAGCCCCAGCCTTGGGCACAAACCCCTGTGGGGAGGTTGGGAGAGCTGGGGACAAGCACAGGCCTGGGTCCTGCAGTCCCCACTCAGGATGGGCAGAGACTTTGCAGGTGGTAGGGCTGGGGTAGCATCCCCCACATGCCCTCAGAATCCTGTTTTGGTGGCCTTTTCCCCATGGCCACTGGCCCCTGTGTATGGGGCTGTGCCAGGACCCTGCTGGGAGGGTGGGGGACACTCCCTGGCCCCATGACCCTTTGCTCTACTGGTGGTAAAGACACTAAAACTCATATATTTGAAAGCTTTTCTGGGTGCCCCTCCTTGCACGGTGTCAGGGATGCTGAGAGTATTCTACAGCCTCAGGACAGGGACAGGGATTGGGGTCCCAATGTCTCCCTTGCTTTTTCCATCTGGGTCCCATCACCTTGCACGAAACAGGGGGGCCCAGGAGGACCCCAGGGAACACTCCACTCTCCCCAGCAGCACAAACCTTTCATGGGAGCTGTCCTGAGGATCCAGGGCCTCCCTCCCAGCCTGGAAAAGCTGCTGGACCGGCTGGGAGCCGACGAGCATCCTCCTCCTACACGGCCCAGCCACGCTGCAATTTTGGAGCTGTTGAAATCAGTTAACTCCTGGGAAGCCAGCGGGAACCCGTGGCCCCGAAAAGCAGCGGGGGTGGACATAAACCCCCAGTTAACCCCATTCTCAAGCACCAGCACCCCCCAGCTCCCACCTTGCCGTGCTCCAGCCTAACCAGTCCGGGCTGCTGGTGTCCCCAGGCCGGCGGGTCAAGGGCCAGCACGAGCCCTCGGCTCGTTTTTCCCGTCGGCCGCCCCGGTTTGGGTAATTACAGGTCTGGGGCTGGTTCCCAGCCTGGGAGCACTCGGGGCTGGGAGTGTTGGGGCCCCTCACTGGCCTCTCCTACCTGGACCAGCCCCGACAGCGCCAGGGCCCCCCCAGCTCAGGTGGGACCTGGGGAGCAAACGGGACCTGCCAGGGCCACTGAGGCGGCCCTTGGTGGGGTCAAGGTGACACCAAACCACGGGGGGTCACAGTGGGGGTGATGAGGGGACTAGGGGGTGGGCAGAGCGTGGGGGGGCTCACAGAGGTTAATCCCCTCCGCTGGTCTCTGCTCCAGGTGAAATGTCCCATCCAGGGCGAACAGGTTCTGCTTTGAGCAGCCCAACCTCCCACAGCAGCCAGTGCTTTCCTAGGGCAGAGCCCTGGCAAACCTCGTTACATCCCAGGCCGGTCCCTTGCTCTCTGGATACCCCATAATTCCTTCACTTCCCTGGGGTGCCTTCCCTGGTCACTTCCCTGGCCGTGCCTCAGTTTCCCCCATGCCCAGGAGCTCCTGGCACCCTGTGAGCTGTGCTTTGGCCACGCCAGGGCTTGGGACTGGCATGTCCCCCACGTCCCCACTTCGGGGCTCCCGCTGAACTTGAGTCACGGTGCGTTTCCTCCCGGCATCCCGGTGCTTCCCATCAAAGGCCGGCTCCTGTCCAGCCCTGCTGGATCTGATGAGCTCATAGCCCAGGGTGCCGTGACTGTATTTTATTGTAATTATTTTTCATGTTGGAACGCGCTGTCGGCGGGGGAAGGGAGGGGGGAGCTGCGCCCTTCGCCGTGGCCCCGTGCCAGGGCCAGGATTGCTGAGCTTTCACCTGCCCCAGCGCGTCTGGACCTTGACGGGGACGTCCCCACCCTTGTGACACCCCAGGGCTGTCCCTGTGTCGCTGGCGATGTGGCTGTTTGTGGATCTTCCTCCTCAGAACTCAGAGGAGCCGGTGGGGGAGGACCCACCCAGGGGTGTCGGGCTTTGGGGTTTGTACCAAGGGGGTGGGACATCCCACTGCGGGGTCAGGGACCTCGGAGCACCCCTTGGAGCAGCCAGCTCTGGGTGGGGCTGGCAGAGCCCTCGTCTGGTGGATGCAGAGCCCCCCCCAAGCCTTTCCAAGGGCTGTCAAGGAACGGGGTTTGCTGGGCACCCCAAGACCCCGTTGTGGGGCTGGGTGGGGGATGGAGAGCAGCCGATTTTGGGGGCCCACTCGACTGCTCCTCCAACCTGGTGGGATGGGAGGTGAGGCAGATGCCCGGCGGCAGCGGGAGCTGCCTGGACACGTGTGCAGGGAGAGACGAGGCAGACTAGAGGCAGGAGTGCAGGAGATGGTTTATTGGAGACCCACAGAGGCTTTGGCAACATGAGACCCCCCCTCCCAGAATGGGAGGGAGCTGCCCAGACCCCCCCTTGCGCCGTCCCAGCCCCTCACCTCCTCCTGTTGCTGCTCCAGCCCTCCAGGACAGGGGGTTTGAAGCTGGCACATGCCAGGCTGGACACCCCCTCCCCAAAAATTGTTAAATAGCAGGGGGGCTGGCAGCCCTCCAGAATGGAGGCACCCTCTCTCCCTCCTTTCCCCCTCCCCAGAGCAGAGGATGGGGGAGAGGGAGGAGGGAGGCCACGCCAAAACCACCCCCACTCCCGGCATCCAGGCTTGGCATGGGGGAGGGGGGGCCGTGGAGGAGTTGAGACTCCTTCCCCCTCCAAAAAACCAACAATAACGACAAAAAAAAAAAAGCAACCAAAAAAAAAACAACAAAGAAAAAAGCCACGAAGAGATGCCGAAGGGACTGGAGGGGGGGGCAGGTGGGGGCCTGTCCCCGGCTCGGCGGGGGCCGTTCAGTTCTTGGGCTCTTCGCCAGCCTCGCCGCCGTCTTCCCCGGCGCACTCGGCTGTCCATAGCGTGAGGTTGTCCCTGAGCAGCTGCATGATGAGGGTGCTGTCCTTGTAGGAGTCTTCGCTGAGCGTGTGCAGGTCCCCCATGGCCTCGTCGAAGGTGGTCTTGGCCAGGGAGATGGCCTGCTCGGGGGCGTTGGCGATCTCGTAGTGGAACACGGAGAAGTTGAGGGCCAGCCCCAGGCGGATGGGGTTCGTGGGCTGCATCTCCTTTTTGCTGATGTCCATGGCCTCTTGGTAGGCTTCCTGGGCGTTCTCTATCGTCTTCTTGCGGTCGTCCCCGGTGGCCACCTCGGCCAGGTATCGGAAGTAGTCGCCCTTCATCTTCAGGTAGAAGACCTTGCTCTCGGGGTCGCTCGCCTTCTTGATGAGATACTTGTCCAGCAAGGCCAGGACGTTGTTGCAGACGCCGTTCAGCTCCCGCTCCACCTTCTCCCGGTACTCGTTCACCAGCTGCGCCTTGTCGTCGCCCTCCTCGGTTTTGTGCTCGATGCTGGAGATGACCCTCCAGGCCGAGCGCTGGCAGCCCACCACGTTCTTGTAGGCCACCGAGAGGAGGTTGCGCTCCTCGTTGGACAGCTCGTCCCCGTGCTCCACCACGGCCTTCATGAAGTCTGCCATGTCCTCGTAGCGCTCAGCCTGCTCGGCCAGCTTGGCCTTCTGCACTTGGTGGTTTCTTGCCATGGCTGGGACGCGGGCGCAGGGGCGGACGCTTTGGGCGAGGAGGAGCGGGGCCGGGAGCCGTCGGAGCCTCTGCCGAGCCCTGCCGCCGGGATTCGCTTTTGGCTGGGCGTCGGAGCCTCGAGCGAGAGCAGGAGGAGCCAGCCAGGTCCAAGGAGTGTCCTCCTCCTCCTCCTCCTCCTCTGCTTCCTCCCCGCCGAGCCCGGCCCTTAAAAGGAAAATCGCGGTGAATCATCGCCCGCGGGCGGCGGGCGCTGGGGAGGGGGCGAGGGGGGGCCCGGCCAACGCCCTGCCCTCCCCGTGGGTCCTCGGTGGGTGCAGCACCCGTGGATGCCCCGAGGGCCTCCCCACAGCCAACGCCCACCCAAGGGAACGCCCATCCCGCTGCTGAAAGGGCTCGGAAGGGCGGCAGCCGGTGGGTTATCGTTTTGGGGGGGATACACAGAGTCACGGCAGCGTTCGAGTCTTCCCACCCCCACCCCCCCCCCGGAGAAAAGGGCCACGGGGTGGTTCCGCTCGTAAAAATGGTTTCTTCCCCCCCCCCCCCCCAAAAAAAAATCATATCACTGTCGTTTTTAATATGTTGATTAACTCGCTGGTAATTGCGAGGGCTTGACGGGCAGGTATTTATTCCCACAGGTGGGGAAACCGAGGCAGAGAGGCTCCGCACCTCTCCCAGGCGCCGCGGGAGGGACCGTCCCGAAACGGGGCACAGTCACCCCGTGCCTTTGAGCCGCTGCACAGCGGGACCACCTGGACCCCCCAAAACACCGTCTGCCGCTGGAGCGAGCCCGGATCCAGCCGGGAGCGAGGAGACCCCCATCCCCACCAACCTCGTGCCCACTTCCATCCCGGGGCTGCGTTTCCCCGTCCCACCGTCCCCAGCAGGGACTTTTGCCGCCCCTCAAGCTGTCATCGCGGAGTTTTAGGGTTCGGGTTTTTTAAAATGTTTAAGGTTTTTCCACGCTGCCCGTGGGCGCTGGGCCGCGGTGGCAGCTCGGTCGAGCCCCGATTAGGATCAATGCTGCGCCTTGCGCTGAGTTTCACTCTCGTCCCGCTCGAGCTTGTTGCCACACGCCGGGCTCTGGCACAGCCCAGGCCCCGCTCCCTGCCCAAACCCGGCCTTATCTGCGTGCGGGAGCGTGCGGGAAGGGCAGGGTGGGGCGGGCGCCCGGCGGCTCCGGGCCAAGGCAAAAAGGAGGGGTGTGATTTTTTTAATCAGCCTGACTCGCTGCTTGACTCCTCCCTGCGAACAGCCCGGCCGGGAGCGCCCAGTCATCCCCCCCACACACACCCTGTTCCTCGCTCAGGTATCCACTGGGGATGGAGGACATAAAGAAAGACCCGAGGATGCTTTTCCCAACTGCTTGCAGCCCAGGAAAACACTCCCAGCCTTCACACTGCTCCCTCCCCACCCCGGAAAGTGGAATTTGGGGCTGTTCATCCCCTCCTGGCCAAGCCCCCAGGGCATATGATGGGTTTGGGGTATCCAGGGTACCCCTGCCCATCAAGGGGCTCACGTGGCAGGCAAGGGTGTCCAGCTCCTCCAGCCCCCCCTATGTCCCCCTCCCAGTGTCACATGCAGCACCTCACCAGCAATTAGAGCTCCTTACCAGGTCAGAGTGATCCTGTGGGAGCAGGTTCCACCCCACCAAGTCAGGAAAAGGTGTCTTCCAGAGGAATGGGCACACAGGACACCATGGCCCATTTCCCACCCTCTACCCAGCGGACAAGGCAGACCCAGAGAGGCCCTCCAAGAGCTTCCATCAGGCACAACCCCCTCCCACAGAGGGGCTGGAGCCAAACAGACACCATGGTGTACCCAGCCCTCTAAAATCCGTCTCCTTTCCTTGGAAAACTGTGAGGCAGCAATGCCTGGGTGGGTTGGTCTGAGCTCACACCCCTTTGGGCAGCAAAGCCATACATGGTTGGGGTCTGCAGCCCCCAGCCCTGGTGAAGGACTCGCTGCCAGATGGGGCTTCCAGCCCTTGGGATGGTCCTGCCCCGCCCTGCCTGTGTTTGGGCTCTTTAACCCCCAGTTGGCTCTGAGAGGGCTCCATGGGGAGACCCCGGCGGGATCCCCCTTCCCCAGCAGGACACGTGTGGGGTGTGGATGGTTCAGCCTCGGATCTGGTATCTGCCAAAGGGGCTGAGCTGCTGCCAAATTTTGGCTGTGCCGGGCTGAGAGGAGGCTGCAGGAACACTCTGCTCTACCGGTTCCGTGGAAAACAGGCGGTGGGTGAAGGGAAGAGCCCCAGATCCTGGCGCAGGGGCTGCGGGTGAGCTCGAGTGCAGCATCACCCCCTGGAGCGCCCATGGGTGCCCTGTCTGCCAAAGAGCAGCACGAGAAGGTGCATCCCAAACCACCCCACGATTCTATGATCACCCCGGGGAGCAGGGCACCCTGTTAACCCCAGCCCTGGGGATGCTGCCCAGGCCAGTGCACGTCTCCAGTCCCCTGAGCCAAGGGCAGGCGTGGGCTGGGTGATGGCAGGAGGCAGAGGATGCTCATGGCCATTCCCAGCGGCACTGGAAGGATGCCCACAGCCTGTCCAGCCACCCCATCCAGCCCTGCCGCTCCCCCTGGCTGGGGGGACGCTGCCAGCTCCCGAAACATCAGTGGACAACACATTTTTCCAAAGGGTGCTCACTGTGTCCTTCCCCAGCCTGGCCCGGCCCTTCCCGCTGCACAGGAGGGTGCAAAGCCATGGATGGCTGAGACTTGCCCCAAGGGCTCTGTGCCACAGCCCAGTTTGGGGAGCTCCTGGCTCCTGTCCCCGTGGCCACACAGCCGATGGCAGAGGGGTGCCAGCCCTCCGTGGCTCCCCTTGGCTCCCAGCCCAGCGTGGCACCGACGTGCCCAGGCACGAGCCGCCCCCAGCAGCCAAACACCGGCGTACAGTAAATAGGAGAAACTTTTATTTTTGTTACAAAAGTCAAAGGCATAAATAGATGGTGAGTCCTACAGGGCTGGGGGCAGGCCTGGCTGCTCCGCTCAGCTCCCAGCCCGGCCGGAGCCGCAGCCTCCGGAGCAGGGGAGGCTGCTCAAGGTGCTGAGGGGCTGGAACCCCTTCCCCTAAAACTAGAGCTGGGCTAAGATGAGACTGGAAAGTGGGAGCTGGCCAGGGGGGTTGCAAGGGCAAACTGACCATGTACTAACTCCTGTCTGGAGAGGAGAATCCTCTGACAGACGGAGGGGCTGGTGGGGTTGGGTGTGTGATGCCACTGGCTCGGCTGTAAACGTTCTGGTGCGAACCTGCTCGTTCCAAAAGCCCACTGGGGTGCCAACCACGACCTTCCAGCATCTACAGCAGGGAGACACCGTCACTGAGGGTCACACTGGTGGTCACGGGGGAGCCACCGGCGGCAGGAGACAGCAGGAACTCCAGTTATTGCACTCGGGTGGGACGGCTGTATGGCTTTGAGCTCCGAACCCGCGGGACGGCCGTCCCGGCCCCCGGAGCGGGGTTGGAAAAGCTTTTCCTTGTGCACGGCCGCTTTCCCCTCCCCTCTGTCTCGCGGCGGGAGGGGAGGGAGGCGCGGCCGCGCAGCCCTGGCGAGCGGAGGCACTCGTGGTGGTGGTCATGGCTCTGGGCTCAGCTTCCCGCGGGATGCGCCACGGGAGGCAGAGGGCTGCGGGCTGCCAGGGCTTTTGGTGCTGGATCCGCCCGGCGCGAGGGAGAGGAGAGGGGAGGAAGAGAAAGAGAGGGTTAGTGCCAGAAATATGAGAGCGAGGAGCAGCAGGAGCAGAGTGGAGCACCCGGGCTTGGTGGCAGAATGGGGACAGTCCGGGATGGAGGAGGAGGGAGGAAGGGGCAGTGGTCTCCATCACTGCTCCAAGGCTCGAGCTCCAGGAGCTCGTGGGGTGCTGGAGGGAAGGAGAGAGGCAGCTCTGCAGCCCACAGGTGACACAGGTCATCATGACGTGCCCTGGAAGGAACTTACCTGGGCCACAGGCACATCAGAGAGGAGAACAGGCAGAGGGCAGGGAGGGGAGGCATTGCCTGGCCCACAGATTGGGTCAGGGCTGGAGTTAGAACTCTGCTCCAGGTTCCACCACTCTGCTCAGGCCACAGCTCGCTCTGAACACTAAATCTCTGCATCCCTTGGGGGCTTTCTCCAGTCCCATCACAGCAGCTCCACCAAACACAAAGCACCGTTGTGTCCTCCAGCCAGCCCCAGGCTGCAGGACCCCTCCTGCCAACCCCCATCCACACACCCATCCCACACACCCCCACGCAGACCAGGCAGCTCCATCCCTCACCAAGCCCAGGCACGAAGCTGGGGGAAACCAAACCCATCCTTCTCTTCCTGCAAAGCCCTCAGGTGACCCTTCACCCACACAACCCGGGGCTGGTGGGATGGATGGACGGGACTCAGGGATGTCAGCACAACTGGAGGGTGATGGGCTCCATGCACAGAGCTGGTCATGCAGTGCAGATGAGATGGGCGGCTCGAGTGGATGGGGAGGGAGAAGAAATTGGTTTCTTACCAGCCAACCCTCAGAAATCAGGGCTAAGGTCCGAGGAGGGGCAAATCCCGTCAGGCTGTGCAGGAAATGGCAAAGTCCTGGCAGGCATCCTCCTGGGGAAGACACCAGAGGTTATGCACCTCAGCACCTGCCACAGGGCCAGAGGGGCTGGGAGAGACAGGGAGCACAGATCCCGGAGAGGCGGGTGGGGAACGGACGCTGAGGTGACAACAGGAAGGGGATGAGACTCTGCCCAGCCTGGAGATGTGGGACAGCAAAACCCCTTCACTCCAGCAAGAGTCACAGCAGCACCAGCTGCTGCTCATCCCTCATAGCAGGAGGTTCCAGGAGCTTCCAGGTGAGGCCTGAGACTAAAAGAGTCCAGCTGGCATCTGAGAGATGTCAAACACCAAGACACCTGCCCTCTTCTGTCTTCAAGGAATAAAATAATAACCCAAGCAATTAACTCTTTAAAAATAGAATTTTATTGAGTAACAAAGGAAACTGGTTTAAATAAAAACAGGAAGGATTCTGGCCCCTGGTTACCCCCCCCACACTGCTCCTCTGCCATCCCCCAGGCACAAGCACTCAGTGTACAGAGCACGATGCTGGTGAATTCAGGGGGGCTGGGCTGCCCCCCAAAACGTGCTGCCTCTGCCTGAGGTTGAAATAGGTGTGTCTGATCCACGGAAACCTAATGAGCAGCTCAACATTGCAAGCCCCTGCCCTGGTGCCAACGTGCACAACACTCCCTGCCCCGAGTAGAAAACGTTCTGTGTAGAAAAAAACCCTACAAATTGTGCAAAAACATCCAGCAGCTTTTAATAACTTGATTCAAGTATTGCTACAAGGTTTGTGGCTCTCCCTGCACCCCAGGGACACAGAGCTGGCTGCACAGGTGCAGAGTGATGATCATGGATGAGCCCAGGAAGCTGGAACTGCTCCCCAGGGGCTGGGGACATCCCTTCATGGATGAGCCCAGGCAGCTGGAATCACTCCCAAGGTGCTGGGAACAGCCCTGGGGACACTCTGCTGTCCAGAAACCCAAACCAAGAGCAGATCATGAGGTTATCAGACCCTCTCACTGCTTCCTCTGGAGAACTCCACCCAGAAAGGGCGGAACCCTCAGGAATTCACACTTTTCTGTTGACTTTTGGTCTCCTACAGACAGGACATAATCCTGGCAGGCTACAGTTCCCAAATCTGACAGCTGTAGACTTGCCAACCAGCATGTCACAAGGGGAGTCACAGAGCACAGAGTGTTTCTTCTTCCCTGTTAAAGGAGGGTCCCCCAAACTCATGTTGCTGCAAAACGTGTCTGACCAACCGGCAGGGCCAAAACAGTCCTTCAGCCCTCCCTCAGCAACCAGCCAGAAAACAGGATCAGCAGCACCAGGACATCCTCACTAACTCCCAGGTCTGCTGGGAGCCAGAGTCCTCCCAGCTGAACAGCCCAACTTACCACGGCACAGCAGCCTCTGGACAAGGGAAGCCGCTCTGGCAGCGGCCGTGGTGAGACCCCGGCTGTGAAGGGACAGAACAGCCCTTCCACGTCGGCACAGGGGAGCAGGATGTGTTTGTGGATACACCAGGGATACCAGGGAGCTCATACCTCCTCCAGCCCAGAGGGGGAACCATTTGCCAGTCCCCACCTCCCACCCTTGGCCCACCTCACGACTCCCGGCAGGAATCGCAGCGATCCGCCGGAGCAGACGCTGGGGGCTCAGAGGTCTGGGGGCTCCCTGGGTGCAGCAGGGACCCCTGCTTTTGGCACGAGTCCCAGAGTCCCACAAGCTGTCAGGCTCTGCCAGCCAAAAAGTCCCGACAGGCCACATCACAGTGAAACAAATAAACAAACAAAAATAATAAATAAATGTAAAAAAAAAAAAAAATAAAGGCAACGTATGGCTCGAGTGAGTCTTTGGCAGCTCTGGGTCACAGGGCTGTCCTGCCTGAGGCTGGGGAGGTGGTGAGAGGGGAAGGTACTGGCTGGAGCAAGGTGCAGGCACAGCAGGCACTGGGAACATCACAGCACTGCTAGGGAAGGCCTCCTACCATGCTGGTGTCAGTTTTGGCTCCAAAGGAAGGGATTTCGCTCTTAGGGCTGGACGGGGTCCCAATATCTGGCTGGATAAATCCTCTTCTGTCTATCAAACTGGAGAACAGGAAGGAAAGAGGAGTTAAGGGAGTGAAGATTCTGAAGCCAGGAGCTCCCAAGCCAAGGGAGGGCTCCTTCTGGGAGCTGCCAAACGAAGCAGGGCAGGATGCTGGAGAACAAACCACACACTTGTCACACAAACCACCAGCCAGCCCACAGGCACAGAGAGCTTTGGGTCACCACAAACCCAAAAAGGGAACTGGCCAAAGGCCTTCACAACACAAAACCAATGTGAATGAGGAAAGAACTGGAGTAAAACACTATTCTCATCCCCACAACCTCCCAGCTAACAGCTGGGCTCCCTGAATCCACAGATTTACCAGCTCTGAATGGCAGCACCGGCATTTTGGCACCTGTGAACCCAACAAAGAGCCTGGGGGGCACTTCAGAGCAGGGCCTGATGTAACTATAGACCTGACCCTCCCCTGCTGCTGCTGTTACACCGAGGTAGCACTTCCAAGATGCTCCACCCGAATCCAAATTGAATCCTCTGAACAGACTCATCTCGTGGATCCCCCACGTGCTCCAGGATGGAGCAAGAGCTCCAAGGCAGGCCCTCAGCTCCTGTGGCAGAGCAGAGCAGGGCCTGACTCTGCCCAACTGCACCATCTTGTGACCAAGCAGTGATTATCCTGTGCTGCAGGTAACTCACACCCAGGTAAGAGCGTTTGGGGGGGTGATACTGAGCATTCCAGGTGATCTAAGTGTTGGTAAAGCCCAGGATCTCTGCACTGGCTGCTGTAATCAGAGTACAGGAGGAAAAACATGCTAAAAATCATAGAATCATGGAATGGTTTGGGGTGGAAGGGACCTTAAAGGTCCTCTCATTCCAATCCCCTGCCATGGGGACAAGAAGTAATGCCAGTACTAGTATTGACCATCTGCTGTCGAGCCCTTTGACGCTGTAACTCTCCCCTTATTCAGTTGTAGAACGTGTTTTATCTTCAAATTCCATGAAACAATTACAAGTGACCCAAACTCATCAAGTTCCAAACACAGAAGCAACAGTTCATCTCCTACTTGCACATCTCCAGCCTCTCTCTGCAGAGTGAGAAGCTGTTTCCTCCACATCATCAAAGCGGACGTGTTTGTGCTGGGAGTTTCCCCTGAACCACGATAAATCCATCCTTTCCCAGAGCAGGATGCAATTCCCAAGGCTCTTACCTGGGATGGAATGGTCCACACAGCACCGCACAGCAGTTTGTGAGGATACTTTTATGGCTGTAGGGATTGGCAAACTCTGAGCCCCTCTTATTTGACCAGGACCCTTTGATCTGAAAGAAAGATGGACACAGACCAAGATGGGAAACATGTGGGAGCAGAAAATGACAGGATAATTAACTGGATATTGGACTCGTTCAGGTCCTTGCTTAAGAGGGTGAAGGTTTCTCTTGCTGCAAACATCCTCCCTCTTTGCTTTAACAAGCAGCAAAGTGCTGCCTCTTCCTATGCCAACGTTCAGCCTTGCAGCTGGAAAGCTCTGAAGCTGTGCCCTCCCTGTGCTGCGTGGCAACGTGTCACTGCCACCATCTGCCACGCCAGCCTTCTCCTCCTCCTCCTCCCCTCTCCAAGGCTGAAAGCCCATCAGAGCAGGGCTCCAGCTCGTGGTCCCTCCTGGGCCCCTCAGGCTGAACAAACAAGGAGGGGATTCCCAGCTCATGCTGCAACCAACAGCCTGGTCTGCCCCCACCCTGAGCAGCTGTCACAGGACTCTGGTTTCGACACCCCGGCCGCAGCAGGCGTGGGCACACACTGGTGGGCAGATGCTATACCTGGCCTCAGGCCCCCAGCTCCAGTGAACCATTTACCAGCACATTTACCAGCACATTTCCTCCTCTTGTTTTCACTCTCTCCCCCCCAGCTGCAACATAAGGCTGGCAATGAGGCCAGAGAGGCAACAGGCCACTGGTGCTCTCTGTACTGGGGGACAACTTCCATGAGCTTCACTTACATGGCCTTGAGCAGTTCTGCCACACCTCAAGTGGAGAGGAAAGGGGAAAAAGCCAAAAAAAAAAAAAAAGGGATGCAAACCTGCCTTCTGCAGTGCTGGAAGCTTCCAGCAAGGATTACAGGTACTTCTGGCCAGAAGGGTGAATTTTGATTTTGAGGATCAGACAGATCCTGCTTTTCCATACAATTTGGCCCACTCAGGGCACTCATTTGGCCCTTGGAGTCTGCATGCATCTCACATTTGAAGGTAAATTTCATCAGATGTCTGTGCATTATTTGCTAATTAGAGATGAGGAACCGCCAGAGACAAAGGGACTCGCCCAAGGTCTCGGAGGAAACCCGTGGTTACACAGGATGCTGAATTCACATCACCAAGCTGACACCCAAATAAATCTCTGGGGCCAGCCTTCTGTTTTTTAATCTCAGAACTCCTAATTTTAAGTAAGGCCACAAACAGACTGGAAAAAACACACACGTGATGGTTCTAACTCAGCTACCTGAAACTGCAGCCTGAATGCCCTGTGGGCACAGGCTGTTTGCTCTGCAGTGGGTTATCACAGGGCATGCAGGCAGCACATCTTACTGAAACACTGCACTGAGACGGCCAAGGACTCCCTGAAAACCTGCTCAGGGTGGATCAGGGACAGCCTGGCAGAAGGAGGAGCATCCAGGTACTGATAGAGAAGGACAAGGAACTTACATCTTCATTCGTCGTCAGGTTGGAGGCGACTAAATAAGTGTGAAAACCTGAGAGGCCCAAAATAGACCAGACTGAGAAAAAACAGATCACCAGCTCCAGCACAGTGAAGTAAAAGTCAAGGAAGTCTCAAAGAACAAAATCATCCTGCAAGGAGAGGCAGAGGGCTGTTTGGGGAGGTTTGGGTAAGCTTCCCATTCCCTGTGCCGGTCTGCAGGGACCCACCAAGGCACAGCCTGCTCCAGCTGCTTCCCTCTCCATCTAAACTTGCAAACTGGGAAACAAGTTTGTCACCCACCCTTACAAAGAGCTCCTGGCCCCTCCCTGTTAATTAGTATTGCTGCACCAGTGCTGGGCACCCCAAGCAGCTGCTGGCAGCACAAGGATATCTCGCGGGTGTCGTCTTCAGAGTGGCCAGGAATCCATCCCTCTGGGAGCCTGCAAAGCAAAACAGGACAAGGAATGGCATCCCATCAGGCAGCCCTGCCTCTCCAGCCAAAACTCCCCTCCTGAGCAGGCAGACACCTCCCTGAGAGCCATATGGATGTGTCTGTCTGCCTGAGCAACATCTGCAGTCTGGGACTCGGCAGAAATGTCAGCGCACAGACACAGCTCCAGGAGATTTGGGGCTGATGGGAAAGTCACCTTCCCTGCCAGGTTAGGAGCGGATGCACCACCAGCTCATCTGCTCTGGGTGGGGAGAACTCCATCCCCAGCTCTCAAGCAAGCAAGGTGCAGGTGGATCTGTGGTTCCCTGAAGTCTGGGGCCCTGTTTACTTGAGACCCACACTCAAAATCCTGGTGTAACCCAACCAGGCCCTTCCCACGCTCTGTCCCAACAGGAACAGTGACCCAGAGCTGCCTGAGGTTGTTGGTGGCCCTGAGCACGGCACACAGCAGTGGCAGGACCTGTGGTACTCACGCAGGGTGAGGTGGGTGACGACACAGGCGAAGATGAAGGCGGTCAGGAAGGAGAGGGAGAGGATGAAGGCGTAGAAGAAGCGATAGTTGCGCTTCCCCACACAGTTCCCCACCCAGGGGCAGTGGTGATCGAATCTCTCTGAAACAAAGGGACACGTGAGGGACAAAGTGAGGACTCCTGCCACCTCAACCCCAAAATGGAGCAAACTCTGCTCAGACTCCAGAAATGAGGAGCTACAAATCGAGCTTCCACCCACCATCCGGAGACCGCAACCTCTCCGCAGCAGCACGTAGGCACAAAGTTTCAGTGGAGCATTGCTGCCTGCTCACATGGTCTTTTTTCTCATCAAGGGTCAAACCTTTCCTCTCACAACCTGTTAAATACAAGCCTTGTGACTGGTAACTATCACTGCAACTGAAAGGGAAGAGGGACAGAGCAGGAATTCTTCCAGCTCCCCACAGCACTGGGTGTGCGCACGTGGCAAGGCTGCTCCCTCCTTGTGTGTCAGCTCCCCCCTTCTTCTTAGGGGCAGAAATACTTTTCCAAGTTATAAAGATACATCTCTAAACCCACAGAAACTGCCTGGGAACCTGGGGCAGGTGCAGTGTATCTGGAAACACCCTAATGAAAGGGCTGACAAGACTGTGGTAACCATTTCATGCGGAGCATCACTGCAAACACAACCCACAGCACAGCCTGCTCTCCCAGACACCTCCTCTGCAAACACTGCTGCTTTCCAGCCTCAGCAGGAGGCACAGCCACCCAGGGCTATCCCCAAACACCAGCAGCTATGATGGTGTCTCTTCCAGCCTGGGGACAGCAAGGCAACACACAGCAAGGAGCCCGCAGCAAACCTCTTTTGGTGGAGGCCTGAACTGCATTTTTCAGTACCATCCTTCCAGAAGCAGGAAAAACAGAGACACAGAGTCTTGGACCTAAGCCACTGCACTGGTGTTGCTTTCATTTTAAATGGGAAGAAGACAGACCACCCAGTATCTTGTTTTATAATCCTTTAGAAGAAAAAGCAATCTGTCCAGGAACAAAAGTGACAGGATCAGTGAGAGGACTCAAGGGAATGGTATTAAAGTTGTGTCAGGGGAGGTTTAGGTTGGATTTTAGGAAAAGGTTCTTCCCCCAGAGGGTGGTGGGGCACTGAACAGGCTCCTCAGGGCAGTGGGCACAGCACCAAGGTTCAAGGGTGTTGGGACAACGCTCTCAGGGACAGGGTGGGATTGTTGGGTGCCGTGGGCAGGGCCAGGAGCTGGACTGGATGATCCTTGTGGGTCCCTTCCAGCTCAAGATCTCCTGTGATCACACAATTAAGCCCCTTTTCCCCCCTGGACAGCAGCCCCTCTGGCCCTGCCCTGCTCACCGACGCAGTTGTCGCAGACGCTGCAGTGGGAGGTGCGCGGGGGGCGGAACATCTTGCAGGTGTAGCAGTACTTGAGCTTCACCACGTACTTGTTGATCACCACCTCCATGGTGCGGGCGGGAGGGCGGTAGGTGGAGGTCCCCATGCTGTCTGCAAGGGCAAGGAGGGACACTCAGAGCCTGCACCTTCCCCCCCGAGCTGCTTCCCGGCACAGGGAAGGGACTGGCACGTGCTCCCCTGGCTTTAGTGAAAGCCAAGAGGCAGCCAGGAACTCCACTCAGCTCCTCACAGCGTTATTTATGTCCTCTCTTTGTTCAGTGGCAACACTGCTGGGATGCCAAGAGGAAGCTGTAAGTGCCCAGTGCTGTGAGAACGTCAAGCAATTTAGAAATAGTGAGTGTAAAGCAGTGCCCAGTAACATCAGCTCATCTCTGCGTGTCCAATGGGTCACATCTGTGAATGCACGTGTGGTTCCTCCTCTGCTGTGACAGGAATCAGAGTGGCCTCAGCAGGAGCATCCCTGCCACTGCCAGCACACAACCTGCCACCCCACAGCTGGAGCTGTGGCACCACCAGCCTCAAGGGATTCATTTCCATCACAAGTCCCAAGTGCTCCAGCAGATTCCCTGAGATTTGACACGTGTGTGTTCGTAGCATGAGAGGATTCCTCGTCCCCAAGGTGGAAACTGAAGAGTTCTAGAAACACAAGTTCTATCTGTGTGTGTGATGCCACTTCATTACTCCCTGGGGACTGGCAGCTGGAGACTGTTGCTCTGCACAGCAAAAGCTGGAAAACCCCTGCATCATGTTTGCAATTTTGGGGATTATTCCTTTTAGTGCCTCCTAAAAGAGCACCTTTCCAGCTCTGAGGGAGTCTTTGAAAATAGTGATGCAACAGTGAGCATGTTAAGAGGATAATAAGTGGATTATATTAACAGTAACAGCTGGCACATCAGGCAGCATCTGCAGCCAGATTACTGCTTTAGGCCCTTATAAATAGAAACGTTGGATCACCACTCTGGGGATATTTTAAACCCATTTTTTAAGTCAGATGTAGAATTACTGCCTTGCAACTGTCTTCAGCGGGACAGATTCAAGCTGTCTCACATCAGCTTTCCTAAAGCATTTATTACAAACAGTCACACCAACAAGGTCCAAAGCTCCTGGATGCAAACACCTTCTTGGCTGTCCCCAAACCAGCGTGACAGAGCAGTTTTCAGAAGAGGACAAACATTAGCCTACACTAAAGAACACCCTGCAGCACAGCAGGCTCAATGGCAAGGCATAATCTTAAAAAGCATTAATTATCCTTCAACTTTGCTGCCTGGGAAGGCGATGGGACTGAACAGGAACAAAAACCACCTCTGATGCTCTGGAGATCCTCTCTGAACCACTGCCTGCTGCGCTGGAGGAGCTTGTTGCACCTCTTACCAGGACTCATAAGACACTCTCAAGCCTCACAATCTGATACTCTGGTTTCTCTCATCCCCTGGACAACCAGTAAGGAGCCAAGACCCAAAAAGTGGGGCTCGCTGAGCCTGGAATGTGTGTGTGCACAGACACACAGCCGTGCACTGAACCAAACACAGGAGAGGGAACAGAGGTCTCACCAATCCGTTTTTCCAGGTCTGCTGCCTCACTTGGGGTGGCTCTGGGCAGGATTCCTGGGTCTCTGAAGCTTGTCTGGAGCAGGCAGCTGATGACAAAGAAGAAGAGGACGGCGGCGATGATGGGGATGGCCAAGGTCAGGTGAGTGGCAAGGAATGGGCAGCTGTTAAAAACATGGATAAAATGGCATTGTTATCAATCACTGTAGAGAACCAGGTGTCAGCTGGGACACTCACACCAGGAATTATCACGGGGTAGTGGGCTCAAGCACTGCTGCTCTGTGGAGACCTCTGGGTATGACAGCTTTTTTGGGGTTATCAACCTTTTTGGGGTTATCAACCTCTTTGGGGTTATCAACCTCTTTGGGGGTGTCCTGTGCAGAGCCAGGAGCTGGAATCAATGACCCTTGTGGGTCCCTTCCAATTCTGAATATTCTGATTCTATGAACAGCAAGAGCCAGCCCAGAAAACACTGGAGTGGTGCTGGGTCTTTGGCACCAAGACACACCAAGGCCCCTGCACACAATCTTTTTTGTCTTCTGACGTCTCAAAAACCCCCCAGCTGCCCCAAAGCCTGGTCACCTCTACAACAGCACCACCAAGAACACACAGACAAACACCCCAAGCCACACAGGGATGAGAATCAGCGTGACCACGATCCCTTTTGGTCCAACACATGATGCTGAGGGGGATCTTGGCTTCGATTCAACACAGCTTTGCCATCTCTGGATGACTCATGTGCCCTTCCTGGTGTGCCAGATGTTTGGATGAGGACACTTCCAGCACCGGGCTCTGTGACAAGCCACCAGGCATCTCTGCAGTCAACAGCCACTCCTGGGCTCACCGTGCTACAACCTGGGGCTGTTTTTCCATAGATGGGGACTGGTGTGATCACACTCCACACCAGGGCAGCTCCGTTACTCTCAGGTGGCAGGTGAGGACACACCAGGGGACACACACAGTGCCACAGACCCCCCCTTGCAGAGGGATTTGCTGTCACAAGCACTGATCACAGATGGACAGGGTGCCCCAGCCCTGACATCTGTGGGCAGTGCTCAGGCTCAGCAATGCTCTGCAGCAGTTTTGAGAGGATTAAGCAACTTTTGTTTCACCTCCCGAGCTCAGCTGTCCAGAACAAAGCAGCCACCAAGCAACAAAGCCCCTTCAGCCCAAGCCCCTTGGTCAACTCTCTGGCAGAGGGACAGAAAGGTCTGTGAAAGAAGAGACATGATCTTGTTGTCACTCCTTTCCTGGGAGAATCTCTGGAGCCCATCAGGGAACAAGAAATCACATAAATCAGAGAATTCCAGAATGGTTTGGGTTGGAAGAGACCTTACAAATCATCCAGTTACACCCCCCTGCCATGAGCAGGGACACCTTCCACTATCCCAAGCTGCTCCAAGCTCCATTCAACCTGACCTTGAACACTTCCAGGGATGGGGCAGCCACAGCTTCTCTGGGCAATCTGTGCCAGGTTTTTCCATACAAACACGAAGCACAGACACGGGCGAGATTGCTGCACATCCAGCAAACTGTAACCAGTGCAAGGGAGGCATCCTGCTAAAATAACAACTTGGAAAGCCCCAGGGCATCTTCAAGCCCAAGAGAGTGACTCGGCAAGGAGGGAGGCAGAGCAGATGTCCTCTGCCTGGCCACACAAAGCAGTCACTGTGCTAGAGCTGCCCGTTAGTCCCAGACCCAGCGCAGGGAGCTGCCAGGGGCACGGATGACGCGGAGAAAGGAGTTTTTCCAGCGGGATGCTGTGACTGCCTCCCGCAGCTGCCTGCCCCTCTCAGCTCATCTGACTTCTCAGAACCTCTAATCCGATCAAATGCCTTCATCTCCCCGCCAGCAGGCTCCAGCAGCTTTACTCCAAGACTTGCGGGGATAACGCCATGATCCAAAGGCGGGCACTGCCCTCCCGCTCCAGGGAAAAGCATCTCCCTTCCCTCCCGAGGCAGGACAGCAGAATCCCTCTGAGGTGGCAATAACCCACGGTGCTCCTTCCCTGGTTCCCCGGGGCAGTGCAGGACATAACGGGGTGCTCCTGGCTCTCCCCTCCCTCAGGGTGCAGGAGCAGGGAGCTTCCCTGGAGCAGCTTTCCAAAGGAAAGGGGGCTGGGGGGATGCAGCTCCCTCTTCCCTGGACACGGCTGCACAGCGGGGCAGAGCTCCAGTGCAGACCCTCGAGGTGGGACCCCCAAGGATTTCACCATTTAACAGAAACACTATTCCGAGATCCCAGCGGTGGGCAAAGCCCACCAGCCTCGGGGGTTCCCTGGCTGCAATTTTGGGCCAGTTCCGTCCTTGGGAGCAGGAGGGGGCACTGGGTCGGGGTGGAGGCAGCATATTTAGAGACCGTGGGGGATTTTTGGGGGGATGTTAAACCCCTTCCCGGGGCCAGACTAAGCAAACAAGGTGATGGACACCTCTGGGCCCCCATAAACACACCTGGGGACAGGTGATGGGGGCAGTGACTGCCTGCAAAGGGGGTCTGGGAGCTGTGCAGTGGGGAAAGGGCTTGGAGGGGTCAGTGGGGAGAAGGGGGGGATAACGGGTCTCCCACGGAAGGGGGAAGGTGCCCCCCCAGCCCACCTCCCTCCACCACGAGGATAAGGGTGGGATGCCAACTAACCCCCAGCTCCCCCGAACGGAGGGGGCTCAAAGAGGGGGGGTCAAGGGCTGATTGCGGGGAAGGAGCCCAGGGACAGCCCCCGCACGGCCTCGCCGCCCCCAGACTCACTCGAAGGCGAAGAAGAGGCCGCTGGTGACCAGGATGAGGCCGAGGGTGAGGACGAAGACGCCGCTGTGCCGCGCCAGCATGAGGCGGCCGCCGCAGAAGAAGCGGTTGCGGCCCGGGAACACCTCCCACTTCCTGCG